GAACTAACAATTAATGGGTTAATCTGGCAATCACTTTCTTACATAATCGCTTAATTGCATCCTGTCATAATTTTAAAAGGCTTTAATTGATGAAATTGCTTGTTGAATCTACTTTCAACACCTAACAACGTATACAATTTACAAACGTACATTTTCCGTCATAAAAAAAAGACAAAGAGAAACAGCAAATGAATCCTTTTTTATTGATTGAATAATCAATAATGTTTGAATAATCAATAATGTTTGGCATGCTTGATAAATGCACAAAGATAAGTATTCAGCAAAGGTTTATGACAGAGATAAAACTCTTTCATACCACACTGTACAGAACAGGATATCGCAGTGCTTTATCTCTCAGGGTGTAATGTCAAACCACGTTGATTTATTCAGCAGGTGGTCCCATCGCCTTGCCATCCTCCTATCTCTGCACTAAGGTTGTGTTTGAGTACATCGAGTAGGCTGCTACTTTACATGGAGTCCCAAAACACCCAAAGCACTTAGATAGGATTTAGAAGTAGCATTCCTCAGATCCTATCAAATATTGCTTAGGTGACTACCTTATTATTTTGAATTCTCATTGCATTCTTGCATTGCGGTGTCTGGTCAACTATCCATATACTTAAACTCTAGAATAACATGTTAACCACAGTCAGTGAACTCTACTAGAACAGTTATTAAACACATGATATATGCAGGTTTGAAAGAAGACTAACTAACTTGTTGACAGACAGTTAAGACCTAAGATTTTCATCGTCATAAATACACTGTAGCTATGTATGTATGACTAATAAAAGCCTTGAACCTTGAAGTGGACTAAGTGACCTTTAATGGTAAGCTTGACACTAGATGTAGTTAGTGTACAAGGTGTAAAGACCAGGGGTGAGGGTTTAAATGAGTGGTACCAGTCAAAGCCGCACAGGTGCTATTTCAGGAATAAGTCTTCATAAAGAAGGAAAGAAAAATATTTAAACCGGCACTTACACTTTAAAAAGTGTGAATCCTTTAATAGCTTCATCTCATTCAACAGCCTTTTCAAAAGTGACATCCAGAACAAAACCTATTCACTCTGGAGGCTGCCCCTTTTCAGTTTTGGTGTAAGGACATTTCACTATCATAAAGGTGAACATAAAGACAATAAACATATTCACACACACAGTTGACCTCTGACCTGTACACCAAATGTATCTTTCATCTCAACCCGTGTCTGGTTTGTCCCTTAACGAGTTGTCTTATAACAAAAAGAATCACTCCGATAGTTTGATTGTGTCACTACATACCCATCACTGGAAAATAACATATATTCCCAGTGGCATGCATGATTGTACAACTACATTTGCTATTAGTTATTTTATCCTTAAAAACCTTTAATAGCCAAATAGCTCTCTATTTACGAGAGGTCATTTGGCTCTCATAAGGATGCAAGTACAGCACGTGCATGCACTCACATTCACACTCACTGGGGATCAATATAGCCCAGAGCAGTGTTGAGTACTGGATCTAACCCACATAATCATCTGTAATCTCTGACATCAAATCCTGCAGAGACACATTGGAGGGCTGACAACAAGCCTTCATCAGCTCCAAGCGTTTAATAGCCACCCCCACTTTCAACACACATACAAAGCACTGCCAGGTACAGGCACTAAAAAGAAGAATTGCAACTGTGGACCATAACCACTCAGTCAGATAGCCATAAGAGGTATGAAGGATTTATTACATGTGTTCATGGTTGGGTGCAGAGAGAAACACAGGATGAATAGTCTCCTTTAACTTGGAATCCTTAATGTCTCACATTATCAGATTAACTCAATTAAACGGTAGTGTAGCTGAAAAATGTTTAGTCTGGGCCTAATCTAACTCAAGTTAACGTCATGTTATCTATAATGTACTCAACTAGGCACAGATGGCTTTAGATATTACCATGAGAAACAAACAGTTACTCACTTAATGTTCTTGCCTGGGCCGTCAGCATAGAAGCACTAATATATTTTTGAAGTAAGTTAACAGACGAGTCATCGCTAGGGGATTTCAAGCTTTGTTTTTCCTTTCTTGCTAGAAATGTCCCACCCTCATCCTTGCCTTTGGATCGCTCTCTTCTTTTCTTTTGGTATGAGTGGTTTCTTTCTTCTGCCTGAATAGCTCAACTTTTTTTTCCTCCAGATTTGGGAACTTGAAGTGGTAATCTTTAAAATGTAATTTAAATAAATGTATGTCATGTGTTAGAAGTGGGCACATATGTGCATGTGGTGAGTTTTTTTTTGTTTTTCATTGTACTAACACACAAATGTAACCATGCACACAATTTTGAAAACTTGAAACAGAAGAATCTAAAAGACTCCACACTGATAAACTCTAAAAAGAATGATATTGTTTTTACTAAAATAGAAATCTCAATAACCCAGGATTGAAATCTAAGTCAAATCCTGCAAGACAAGCCCAGACCCATGACCAGGCACGCTGCACAACATGCACCTCGCCTTCAGGGTTGGTTACAGCAAAGATCTGCGTGACGTCACACTCAGCTGAGGACAAAGCCCACTGGTTTCTCCCAGACAGAGAGGTGGGGGGGGGGGGGGCTGTCAGAGCAACGCAAGGACAAGCAGCAGAGAGAGAGAAAGGTTGACTTATTGCAGGTGGATTTGTTGCAGAAATGTGTGTGTGTTAGTGCAGAAATATTTTTTTTACTTACATGTGAGATAGCTTATGGTTCCCTATATGCACGTGTGCTGCATGGGTGATCTAGAGTGAGTGTGACTGCTAATGTGTATGTCAATGCCACTCCATCCTTGTCAGGACAAAAGGTGGCAGTGCATTGCAGCTTAGCATAATAACACTGCAATAACTGACTCTAAGACTTTACATTTACTGTAACAAGGCTTTGGTGACAACCTCAATGCTCCCTTCACTGCATGATCAAATGCAAGGGAACAAAACGCCCACTGCAACCTCAGTGATCATCACTCCACCCACTGAGTAAAGTCACACACACACACACACACACACACACACACACACACACACACACACACACACACACACACACACACACACACACACACACACACACACACACACACACACACACACACACACACACACACACACACACACACACACACACACACACACACACACACACACACACACACACACACACACACACACACACACACACACACACACACACACACACACACACACACACACACACACACACACACACACACACACACACACACGATTTCTATGATCACTTTGTCTTTAACCACTGCACACATAAAGAAAGAGTGAGAGAGGCAGACAAAGCAGGGGAACGCCCCCTACACCCTGCAAGCTACTGTCAGGTCATCAGCTGGTTTAGGCTGGATTCCAATCATTGTTTACCCAGATTAATTAAAAATACAAATGATGACT